GGCAGGCAGGGGATTAAACTGATGCTGTAGTGGCTGGCAACATCTTGATAGCACTGCCTTTAACCCCTGTGCCATCAGGGAGGTCCCATCCCCATAACTTTTGACCCTTTGTCAATCTGAACTCTATGCCTATTAAAACAATAACTCCCCATTCTCCCTGGCCCCCAACCGCTCATAAACCATTATGATCTAATATCTTTCCTGTTTACAGTTATTGTTGAATTGCAAGTAGCTGGTAACTTTCAAAATGATAACTCTTTTTTTTTTTAAAGATTTATTTATTTTTGCACACAAGAACTGGGGTACAGGCCAGAGGTGTGGATGGTGAATGGATTCACCAAAGACAGAGTGGGGAGCAGAACAGGCAGACTGACTGAAATACACTGCTGAGGGGAGCAGTGGGTGAGCCAGGAGAGGTCTGCTGCACCATGTGGGTAGCTCCCTGGCCAGGGATCGAACTCGTGCTGCAGAGGCTGCAGATAGCTTCATAGGTTGCATCTTAACCCCTTGCACCACCAGGGAAGCCCAAAACGATAACTCTTTATTTGGGGAGAAGTTTAGATCCACAGAGAATTTGCTGACCTTGTCCAGAGAGTTCCCATGTATTCCCTACCCAGCTCCTGCATTAATGCCAGCATCTTACATAACCACCGTGTCTTTCCTGAAACCAGGAAATTAACAGTGCTACAAGCTTAGTAACTAATCTGCAGACCTTATTCAAATCAAAGCAGTTTTGCATCTCGTGTCCTTTTGCTGGTTCCGAATCCAATTAAGAAGCCCGGGTTGCTGTCTGGAAGTTCCTCAGTCTACTAAAAATGGAGCTACCATCCGACCCGGCAATTCCACTCCTAGGGATCTACCCAAAGGACACAAAAACACTGATTCAAAAGAACCTGTACACCTATGTTTATTGCAGCACTATTTACAATAGGGAAAACCTGGAAACAACCCAAATGCCCAAAAATAGATGACTGGATCAGGAAGATGTAGTGTATTTATACACAATGGAATGTTATTCAGCAATCAAAAAAGATAATCTCATGTCATTCGCAGCAACGTGGAGGGAGCTAAAAGGAATTATGCGCAATGAAATAAGCCAGAAGGAAAAAGAAAATTATCAGATGGTTTCACTTAAAACAGGAATATAGGGGAACCAAATAAGACATGAGTGTAAAAAAAATAATCACAGTACAAAACACAACAAAGCAAAAACCAGACAATTATAAACCAGGGACATCCTGCAGGGGAGGAGGCGGGAGAGGGTCAGAGGGAGGGAGGGAGGAGCACAGGGGACTGAGGTGATGGTGCACAGGTGCCTTGGGGAAGGAAACTCTATGGGGACTCCACCTGAGGGGGTGGGGGGAAGCAAATATTGTTTAAAAATAAATAAATAATTAAAAAAAAAAAAGAATCCCAGGCTGCATTTTGTTGTGTTTCCTAAACCTTTTCTTGCTTATTCTCATCCTTTGTCTTTGATAGTCTTGATAGTTCAGGGGCATCGGTCAGTTATTTTATAGCCAGTCCCTCCATTTCAGTTTCACTCATGTTCACCTGTGATGAGCTCGAGTGCACGGAACTGGGGGGCTGCATGGTCAGGGAAAAAGCGTCAGGCTTTTCTGCCCTCCCGCCATTAGGACTGATGACGGATCTGCCGTCCTGAATGCATGCCGGATGGCGGGCACCTGGAGCAGGGTGTGGGCATGCGTAAGGGGGTACACCTGGGCCCACGCTGCGCTTAAAAGGGCGGCGTCACGGGGACGCCAGCAGAGAGAACCACGAGAAGCAGAACCACAAGAGAAGCAGAGAGAACCTGAGAGAAGGCCGGAGAGCTTAGACAGAGTGAAGACTTGCTGGGGGTTGGCAGGCCTGCCAGCCTCCCGGCCCCCCAGCACCCCTGCCTGCCGTGTGCCTGGTAGATCCCTGTAAAGCCTGAAAAGCCCCCGAGGGCTCCAGGACTCCTCCATGACCCGTTCTGCTTGCGTCATAGAGAACCTGCCCTGTGCCCCTTCCTGCCGCTTCTGGGCAGGACACCCCAGCAGCAGCGCGTGCCTCTGTGCCCGCTTGCAGGAGGCAGGATGCCTGCAGGCCTCTTCCTGGGGACACGGAGCGCCACCACTTGGATTTAGGGGCCTTTGGCCACGGTCTCCACTAGAAGATGGCTACTGAGACACCATGTGAGTATCTTGCTCCATTTATCTTTTTCACCTGCTCATTTCCCTCCTCCCCTCCCGCCCTTCCTTAAACGTGTGTTGCACGGCCCACGTGTGCCCGGTGATCCTGGTGCATGTCTTGGTGATTTAAAAAAATGACTTAAAAAGTATCCCTTCTCTCAAACGAGAGTCACGTGTGATGCTGCATCCACTGAGGGGTGCGCACGTGATACGGGTCCAGCTGGAGGCACGCCCTCCTCTGGGGGTGCAGCGGGCTCGACCAGCTAGGATCCAGTCTGTGGCCTCACAAGGATGAAAGCACCCGACTATGCATTTCCTCCTCAGTGTCTGTGTCATTCAGGACACAATTGATTGCAACAGAGACCTTCTGGTCTGCAAAGCCTAGAATATTTGCGAACGGCTGTCCTCAAGTTTCAGCAATATCAAGGGATGGAAGTTATTTTGATTAACCAAATAATTGAAGGAGATGCTTCTTTCCATTGATAAATTTATTATTCCAGATAAAAATGATATGTCATGGGTGCCCCATATTTAACACCCACTTAGAAAGTCAAACACTGCACACCTAGTTTTATTGCCTTGTGTACCCTTAGCCGAGTGTATTTCCTATCCCCATGCCCAGAGGGAGCAGTTGCCCTGAATGTGCTAATAGATGAGTTTTTCTAAGCGTGTCATAGTCGTCGCTCTTACATTTAGGTCTTCGATCTACTTTTTTTTTTTTTTTAAAGATTTCTTTATGCATACAAGAGCTGGGGCACAGGCCAGAGATGCGGGGGGTGAGAGGACTCACCAGAGACAGAGTGGGGAACAGAACAGGCAGACTGACCGAAGCAAACTGCTGAGGGGAGCAGTGGGCGAAACAGGAGAGGTCTGCGCGCCATGTGGGTTGCTCCCTGGCTGGCCGGGGATTGAACTCGTGCTGCAGAGGCTGCGACTGCTTCATAGTGTGGTGCTTAACCTCTTGCGCCACCAGGGAGGCCTGTCTTCAATCTACCTTGAGTTTATTTTCATATATTGGTTGAGGTAGGGGTTCAGTTTCATCCTTTGCACGTGACTATCCAATTGTCCCAGCTTGTTGAAGAGACTATTTTTTTCTCCTTGGTCTTGGCACCCTTGCCAAGAATCAGACATACAGGTTTATTTCTGGAATTTCAATTCTATTCTATTGATCTCTATGTCCATATTTATGTTAGTATCACAGTGTTTTATTTTCTGTAACTTTGTAGTAAGTTTTGTAGTAAGTGTTGAAGTCTGGAATTGTTAGTCTTCCAACTTTATTGTCCCTCTTCAAAATTGTTTTGACTAAGTTCCTTAAAAATTCACAGGGGAGGGGGGCCTCCCCGGTGGTGCAGCGGTTGAGCGCTGGGTTGCGAAGCTGCCCGCGGCCTCTGCGGCGCTGGTTCGATCCCCGGCTGCTCCCCGGCCACCGGAGGAGGGTCCCGCATGGCACGCAGACCTCCCCGGCCGCCCGCTGCTCCCCTCAGCAGTGTACTTCGGTCCCTCTGCCTGCTCAGCTCCCTGCTCTGGCTCTGGTGAATTCTCTCACCCTCCCGCGCTTGACTGTGCCCAGTGCTTGTATAAACAAACAAACAAATAAATAAATAAAACATGCCTCTATTAAAAAAAAAAAAATTCACAGGGGGGCCACCCTGGTGGTGCAAGAGGTTAAGACGCAACCTATGAAGCTATCCGCAGCCACTGCAGCACGAGTTTGATCCCCAGCCAGGGACCTACCCACATGGCACAGCAGACCTCTCCTGTCTCGCCCGCTGCTCCCCTCAGCAGTGCATTTCAGTCAGTCAGTCTGCCTGTTCTGTTCCCCACTCTGTCTCTGGTGAATCCTCTCATCCCCCGTACCTCTGGTCTGTACCCAGTTCTTTAACGCATAAATAAATCTTTAAAAAAAAATTCTTATGAATTGTAGGACTGAATTCGACACTGCAACTAGATTGCTGGGAGTTTGATAGGGATTGCACTGAATCTGTAGTTTGGATAATATTGCCATATAGATGCATTTATATATATTTGCTGCTTAAGTATTTATCTCTAACTAATATATTTGCTTTATGTTTTATAATTCCACAATGGAATTACACCAACTTTTCTTCCAGGGGCTGCTTGTTTTGCTCAGTGTATTTGAGATTTATTGATGTGGTGGTGCATACTTCTACTTGCTTCATAATAATTGCTGTGTTGTGCTCTGTTGTATGACTACATCGCACTTCTTTCTGCATTGTCTTGTTGGTGAATATTTTAAGTTGGTTCTAATTAATCAAATTAAAAAATTGGCCCCAGTTAAAAATTTTTGTATACAGTATTACTGTACCTTAGGTAATGTTTTTGTTTTTTTCACAAATAATCCCAGTATGAGCACTCTTGTTGTATATCTTCAAGTATCTGTGAGATGCGGATCTAGGAATGGAACTAGAGCCAAGTGGTTATACACATCTTCAACTTACATTGTCAACCAGTTCTCCAATGTAGCAATTTGTTCTCACTCTAATGTCAGTAGATTTTCAAAAGTTGAACCATCTTTGCTATAACATTTCCTCTGTTGAGTCAGAACACGCTATTTCTGTAACGAGAAGCTAGCTGTTCATTGGTGGTGTTTGTTTTCTTGGCATTTTTAGCATCTAGGCACATAGTGGGATGTACTTACTTTTTTCCTCTTAGAAGAGTGCTATCTCCTTCCCCTGCAAGTGGACCCAATTTATAAAAGATGCAAATCATCTTGTCCTTGAAGATTTGGCAAAGTTCTCTTGAAAAACTATCAGAGAGGGTATCTTGTATGAGGAATAGGTCTTTCACCACCATTTCAATAAGATCATTCACTTTTTAATGAGTTGGCTTGATTTTGACATTTATTCTTAGATTTTTTTTTTCTATTTTATCATTTTGGACATCTTTTAGTATAAAGTTATATTACATAGTATATGCTTATCCATTAAAATAGTTCCTCTGTAAGAGTCATTGGTTCCTCTCTCATCCCAAGTGTTATTTATGTCTCTGTCTTCTTAGCATAGTTTGGCTTTTTTATGGGTATTCCCAAATATCCGTTTTTTATTACTTATAGTTTTCTATTGCGTTACTTTCTGATTTTCCTAATGTTTTCCCTTGGTTTATTGGTTTTTTTGGTTGATGGTTGAGCTACTTCATTTTGTTTCCTCATAAATTTATATAAGGCTACATATTTTCCTCAGATTACTTCTTTGGCTGCTTATTTTCAGTGCGCTCCTTACCCTCATAACTACATAAGACGTTAATTAGAGTTCTGCATACATTTTTTGGTTGTTGTAACCCACAGGTTTTCATTTGTGGTGTCCTCATTCAGTTCTAAACATTTTATATCTATGTGTGATTTATCTTTAATGCATGTTTTAGCATTTCCAACTCTATGGATTTCAAGTATGTCACTGATTTATAATTTTATTGTGGCTAGTGAGTGAAGTCAAAAAGTTGTTTTCTGTTGTGCTTTAACACATGGTCCATTTTTGTAACGGCTGAGTGTTGGGACAACACGTACATTCTTTACTGGATACATATATTTACATATTTATTTAATCACGTTTGCCATTGTATTATTCACCTCCCCAAGATTATCACTATTTCATTGGTTTGGGCTTGCTGTCCAAGTAGATTCTCTCTCTACAACATTGTGGTTCTGCCCATTTCTCCTCACTGGTGATTTTTTTGTTTGTTTGAAACTCTTTTAAACCATTGTTTCTAGGGACAAAGTAGCATCGAGGGTATTTGCAATTTCCAGAGCATTAAGATGCTTTGGCCCTTGACTGGGGTGCATGATGGAAGTGGGGCTCTACACTGGGCTGTCCCCCAGCCTGTGGCTGCTGTGACTGGCACTGATTCATGGCAGGTGAGGCTCACAGAGCCTTGAACTCCCTCACTCTGGCCGTGGGAAGTGGGCAGACCTGGGGCCATGCCCAGTTCCATCACTTACCATTTGCGATCTTGAACAAAATACCTGACTCTTTGGACTGTTTTCCCATCTATCTCTGCGCTATCAGAAGATTTAAATGCGCGTGAGCCAAACAAGTAAATGCTCGGTCAGTGGGGATGACACATGGTGTCCAGGGGTCGTGTCTGTGGTCAGCTGAGGTAATTCCTTCTAGGAAGTCTTCATGTAAATCCCAGCCTGCCACCTTCTACCCCCAATCAGTCCTGACCACCTCATTCACTTATTATTCCTGAAGGTTCTTTGTCTAGTTTGCAGCAAGGGTGAAAAAGAGACCGTATTCAGAAACTTCAGCCTCGATAGGGTTGGAAGACCAGAGAAGGGGACTAGGAAATGCTTTCAAGCAGACCTTGACTGCTGGGCTGAGGCTTGAGTAAGATTTCTCCGGGCATAGCAGCCTGTTGCTAAAGCCCGGGATGAATAGGCTTGATTAGAGGCTGACTTTTCTGTTCATTTTGTCCCATAATCTGTCACTAAGAAGGGGGTTCCTCCCCCCACCCCATGTCCCGAATTCAGCACAGTAACTACGAATGTAGTTAGTCCTCTACACGCTTCCTCTCTCTTCAGAGTCTGCGTTGCCCATGATCTCACAAGGGACAGTGAGAAACTGTCCTAAGCTAGCTCTGCCACGGCTCCCCATCTCCCGCTAGTCTCCCCAATTCTCACTTTATACTTGAAAGAAAAATCCTCAATCTGTAAAATGTCCTCCCCAATTTGCTGGCGCGCTCTCTACTTTCATTTTAATTGATTGTGCTTGCCTAAGATGATCTAATTTTTGGTGTTTTCCAAGTTTTTGATTTAGGGTAAAAAACCTTTAATGCCCAATTGGAATTAATTCCCACCTTAATCTTCATTTGCATCTATTCTATTTCTAGTTATTTGGATTGAAAGCTTGATTCATTTTTAAAGTTCACTTATTTCCAGAATTTATTTTCTTAATCAGTGTACTCAGGGCTACCCATGCTCTTCTGGGCATGCCTCTGGCTGCATCCCACGGGTTTCATTATGTAATGTAACATTTGAAATGGTGATTGATAAAAAAACTACAATATCTACATTGAGTCCATCTTTAATCCATGCCTTAGAGATGTTTCACCATCTCGCACTAAAGACCTTTTCAGAAGAGGTTAATTTTAATTGTAGAATCTACCTCTTGGGGTGAAGCTCAGATTATCTAGTATTTGTTTCTTGGCATTTGGGAGGCTCCTCACTGCTGATTCTTATAAATGTGGATCTTGATAAACTTTCACAGGTGTTTGAGAATTTGGGGGGGTGGTAGGGGGCACAGGGTTTGATAAACTTGACTAAGTTTATTAATGGTAGTAGTCACACCATTTATGGCTAATACCCTATCTATATAAAATCACATATAATTAATTTTTGACTATTGGATCTGATAGTTTCTAAAAGGGGAGAGCCCACTTTTCCCTAAATTGGGCCCCCTCCTCTCCCCTTTCCTGCCACCTCAGGCACCTATGCCAGAGGAGGGACTCAGGTGAGGGTGTAGACACAGAACGGCTCACCCTCCATTCACTGGGGGAGTCTGCCTGTAGCTCAGAAGTCAACTCATTGAGTGGCCTAGAACTTGGGGAACAGTGTTCCCAAGCCGCTGTTTCCCCGTATGGGAAGCTCTGCTTTGGGAGCACAGCACACCGTGGTGTCTGGGGGCAGCGGGTATACCTAACCCGGGCGTGAACCCCAGCTCCACTTCAAGCACCTTCTGTGACTTTGGGGTGGTGGCTGCCCCTCTCTGAACCGGTTCCTTCACTTGTAAATCAGGCTGCTGACGCCTGCCTCGGATGGCTGGCCCAGGGGCGCTGCTCAGGGGCCATCGTATGGACTAGAACACGAAGCAGCTTTTGCAGGACCAGGTGTGGGTTTGGGTCCCCAGCACGGCCCCTCAGATGCCGCGTGACCTTGGACAGGCAATACCACCTCGGGGGCCTCCCAGCTCACTGGTCCAAGGAGAGAGGATAATTGTTTAGGTCCCTGCCTGCCCCAGAAACGAGATGGGGTGGGCGGGGCACAGCAAAGACGCCACCACCGGCCGGGGTCGGACGATCTTCCTTTAATACAAAGTCGATATATCTACATACACAGAGGTGGGAAACCGCCGGCTGCTTCCACTCGAATCAACAGTGTCGGAAGCAGCGGCAGATCCGCTCTCGTACAAAGAGAAAAACTCACTTGCTCGGGGCTGAGGGGTCCCGTCCTTCTGTTTTTGTCCCAGAACTGCCCCGTAGTCCCAGGGGGTGGGTCCCTGATCCAGGGCAGCATGTGGCCTCTACTGCCCCCCCCGGGAGTAGTGGGGACCTCCCCGTTTTGTTCAGTCCTCCTTGGGGGCGGGAGGCAGGGGGCTCAGGCAGTGAGGGGGTCGCTGCCATCTTCTTGTGGCAGTGCCCGCCTCGGAGGGTTCAAATCCCGCGCTGGTGGGCCCGAGCTGCCCGCTGCCCTGCCCTCAGAGCTGTTCGTGATATGTCTGAGAAGTTAATCAAAAAACAAAAGCCAGAAAGGGAAGAGAAGAAACGAGGAGCAAAGGGACTTCCTACTCTTGAGCAAGGCACACCTTCCGATGGTGGGAAAAGAGCGCGCGCGGGCAGGGAGGGCCCACGAGGACGCGCCGTCACACAGGAACACTTGCTACGGTGAAAAAATAGTCTGTAACAGAATAGGAATAATAAGCAAAGTTTTTAAATTCATTGACTGGCAAGTCTTTTTTTCTGTTTTGTTTCTTCTTAAAAAAAAAAAAAGAAAAGAAAAAAATACACTATTTAAAAAAAGGAAATGTCACTGGATACAGTTACACTGAGTTCCAAAAGAAAGCTGAACTCTGCCCCCAGCCTGGCACCCCCAGGCTTCAGGGCAGCACGACTCCCGGGGGGGAGGACCAGGGGTCAAATCCAAGGCCTGCACCCCCATCCTCTGGTTCTGGGGAGAAGCCCTGTTTGTTCACCACCCCCCACCCCCACCCCGGAATCTGTTTTGGAATCGGAAGGAAATGAGGAATGTGCCAAGTATTTGAAGGCGGCAGCTGGTGCCAGGGGGATTGCTGGGGGCCGCATGGGGGGCTTGAGGGGCTGCCTCGTTCCCGGAGACCGTGCAGAAATGCTGCTGCTGCTGCTGCTGCCGCCGTGGCCGCCACCTCCTCCTGCCTGGGGCCGGGGGAGTCCAGGCCTCTGTGGGCTCACCCAGCGCGAGCGGAGGCAACAGGGGCCGGTGGTTGGACCCAGGGAACCATGGCTTTAGGTTGCATAGTGGTCGAAACTTCCGAGGTACTCCAGCGCTGCCTGGTAGCAGAACTGGTACTCGTCCTGTGCGGGAGGGAACAGAGCTTGTCAGTGCCCTCCTGCTCCCTAGGCTCAGGCTGCACACCTCACGGGGCTGGGTCTGCGCCTGAACGCCACCCCTCCCCCTGCCTGCAGGCCCTACTTATTGCTAAAGACAACTGCTCAGTCACCCCCACCTGAAATCTTGCCCTGAGGCCGAGTCTAGGCAGTGGCTAGCCCTCGGGGGACACTGTTAAAGTGCCCGTATGAAGGTGAGCACAGGGAAGCCCCTCCCTGCTCTCGGCCTTGCTTTCCCCATCTGGGAGCAGCAGGACCTCAAGGTCTGTGGCCCAGGCAGTGTCCTGGCTGAGCCGTAAAGGCTGGGGCTTTGGGGCAGGGATGGCCCCACCTCTGCGCACACCAAGCGACACATCTTGGGTCTGGATTTCAGTCTGTTCCTGTGTCCAAAGGGCCGACCGGTCCCCTTCCTCCCCATACCCCAGGGAGAGCAGGGCGGCAGGGGCGAGGGGCAGCCACTCCTCCCGCCCGTCCTCACCTCCGTCTGCACCATGGCTGGCCTCTGGGTCCGTAGCATCTTCACCGTCTGGAAGATGTCCACCACGCCTTCGTACCGCATGCGCTCCAGCACGATGCTGAGCGTGATGAAGACTCCCGTCCTGCCCACACCGGCACTGCGGGGGTGAGCACAGCCATTCAGGGGTGGCGCTCAGAGGCCCCCATTCACTGCCTAGCTCCCCAGGAGATGGCCCAAGTGGACCGCCCAAAGCTTGCAGCTGAGGCCTCAGTTTCCCCAGCCAGGTGGTGAGCTGGGGTCTGGGAGGTGGGGGGTGCAACTCACCTGCAGTGGACAGAGATGGGGCCATCCTGGCCGAATTGCTCCTTGGTCTTGTGGACTTGGCCAATGAAGTCAATGAAGCCCTCCCCTGACTTTGGCACACCCTGTTCTGGCCAGTCTGTGAACTGGAACTGCCGGACAGTCCGGGACTGACCATCCTAAATACAGAGTGAGAAAAGGTCTCGAGTGATGTCAGCAGCGGTCATGACTGTCCCCCCGGCCCCATCACTAGTAACACTTCTCTCCACCATCTAAAGGCACCATCTTCCGCTGACATTCTGCATCCTCTGCCTTTTCCCAGTCACATTCTCTCCATCAAAGTGTGTGTCTAACCCTGACAGACACCTAGAATTTCCTTTCTCTGGTCCCATCGCCTGAATCTTGCACCATCGATAGCACTATGACCACTGACCACTGCCTGGCTATCTTCTTTACTGTTCCGTCATTGCCACTGATTTTCTCCATCCCCTGCTGGTCAAAATGGCCCTTCTCCAGTCTCATCTTCCACCCATTGCTGAAAAAGGTCACCATCTACTGACCTGTAGTGCCAAGTTCGACCATCATTCTCCATCCTGTAATATACATTCGTTCCATGCTAAAGTTTCTATCTTCCTGCCATCCAACACCACCCAACGGTACTATCTTCCACTAATTCTACAGTCCCCCAAGCTAAAGGTGCCATCTCACACCACTGAAGCATTATGACCAGCTCTTGTATAAATAAATAAAAAATCTTAAAAGATTTATTTATGCATACAAGAACTTGGGTGTAGGCCAGAGGTAGGTGGGGCGGTGAGAGGATTCACCAGAGACAGAGTGGGGAGCAGAACAGGCAGACTGACTGAAATATGCTGCTGAGGGGAGCAGCGGGCGAGACAGGAGAGGTGTGCTGCGCCACATGGGTCAGCTCCCTGGCCGGGGATCTGCAGTGGCCGCCGATAGCTTGATGGCACTGAGACTTTAACCCCTGTGCCACCAGAGATGCCACCGACATTCAATATTCTTGCCTCTGCATTCTCCAAACCCCCCTTCCACCACTTAGATCCTGCAGCCAGCAGGGTCACCTTCCACGGTCAGTCTTCATCAGTTATCATAATACCCGCCCATTCTCCCACCACCCGAAACCGCCATCCTCTGGTCTCCACCAGCCAGTCCCCCCCCATCCATCCTCCATTCTCATCTCTCCTTCCAGTGATGCCTCTCCCCGCCTCCTGCTCCACACTTCCGGCGCCTGCCACCAGCGCCATCACCGCGCCCCAGCACGCTCTGGCACCAGTGTCCGCAGGTTGTTGCAAGACATTCCCTTTTAAGGGGCCCCCGGGTCACATTCCCTGGTGAGTGTTGTTGCTCATCATCTGATGGAGACACCTGCTCTTCCCCTCACTGTCGGTGGGGACGGTGGGTGGGCTTGCTCTTCTTCCTTCCAAATCCCAGTGCTTCCCACCCCGGGGCGTTTGCTTCTGCCACCAACCCGAGGACCCTTCTGCAGATCACTAGGGTCCACTGGTGAACCCGTTCGCCAATCTCCACACTTACCCGGGCATCTGTGACCTTGAACTCCCGCAGGATGTACTGAGGCATGTTGTATTCCGCCATCGGGTCCACCACGAAGTACTGGTAGCGGGCGGAACGCTCAGCTGGCCAGTACTGGTGACATTTTTCCTGTTGAGGAAAGGGCAGTGGTGGGTGGTCAGCTCGCCTGAGTTCTGCCCTACCCTGCCCTGCCCACCCACAGGGTGCCTGGCTCACCCGGCCCATCTCCCGCAGCTTGGTCAGCATCACCACGATGGTCGAATTGTTCTCCCACAGCATACGCCAGAAGTCCTCCGTGGTTTCTGCCAGAGGCCCTTGTGTGGCAATGTAGGCCTTTTGCTGCCTGTGGGGTGGGGTGTGTGAGCCAGGGCGGTGGGCAGCAGGAGGCCCCAGCCCATGTCTGGCTTGGGCGTGATGCCACTCGGTGCACCAAAGCAGGACTCCTCAGCAGCCATGACTGCCACGCCCCTGCCCTCTTGGGAGCTGCCGTCTGGTGCACCTCACCCCGCCACTGACTCAGCCCCCCAGTAATCTCACTTTCCGCATGGCAGCGCCATCGGCCACAAGCTACATTCAATCTCCGTGAGAAAGTTGCAAAACCTTCCCTGCTCTTCTCTGCCTTCCTCCTCCGCCCTGCGCAAGTGTCAGGAAACGACTTCCAGTCGTTTGCACAGGCCTAGTCCTCCCTCGCGCCTGGTGGTACCTTCTGCCTGCAACACCTTCCCCTCGGTCAGGGATTCTCAGCCCAGCACTGCTGATGCCTGCAGTGGACAGTGTTTCGTGACGAGGGCTGTTTTATGCACTGTAGGTTGCTGAGCAGCACCCCGGCCCCACTCGCTGGAGGCCAGTCCTACCCCACTTCTACACTTGCCAAATGCTCCCTGGGTGGGAGATATGCCCAGATTAAGAAACAGTGATGCAGAGGGCAGAAGGAACCATGTAATGGAGCCATCAGTTAAATGCACATCTGAAAACCTTCACTTCCAGAGACTGCCGGGAGCTGGCCTCGTCCATCTAGCTTTGTCTCCCAGACTTGGGAAGTCCCTTGTGGGCAGGAGGGGACCCTCTGGTGCTCCAGCATCACTGGGCAAAGGCCAGAGTCCTACAGTGACCGCTGTGAGGTACCTGTAGCCATCAATGAAGCTGGCGTTGATGTAGTCAGAGCCCTCCACGCCCCGGATGGGCTGCAGGCAGACCCGCGTGCTCTCGTAGGGCATGATGTTCACCAAGCGGTTCTTGAACTTGTTACAAGGCAGATTGGCACTGATGAAGCGGGACGTGTGGGCTTTGGAGTTGGCCAGCCGCTGTGGGGATGAGGAGGGGTCCACGTCAGGAGGCCTTCCAGCGAAGGAGGGGGTCTGCTTTCTCCAGGGACAGGGAGGGCTTCCCGTGCCAGTGCCGACGTGGGAGGTATGGGAGGGGAGGGCGGTGTGACACGCCCCAGAGGGGCTCCCTTGAGACCCCACCGAGGCATCCACGCCCACTTACCTTGAACTCAAGCTCCATGCCGGTGACGTGCTCGCCGGGCTCCACCTGGGCCAGTTTCTGGATGTAGGCGTAGAGGCTGCGGGCCGGCACCTCGGTGTTGCCGCAGCCCACGGCCTCCAGCAGGGCCTCGTGGATGAAGCTGTACTGGTCCTCAGTCTGCACCATGTAGTTGCGCTGGGACCGCATGAGCGTCACGTGGCCGTACACGTCCACCGTCTTCTCTGGCTTGATCCGCTCGAGCATGGCGTCGATGACGATGAAGCAGCCTGTGCGGCCCACGCCCGCGCTGTGGGGTGGGTGCGGCGGTCAGGGGCGGCTCAGGTAGGGGGCGGGCAGGACAGGCAGGGTCGGGTGCGGAGGGAGCAGATAGGGCCAGGGGTGCTAGGGTAGAATGGGGCATGGAGAGCTGGGGTGGCAGAGGGGGGCCAGGGCTGGGCAAGGCAGTCTCCGGGAACGGGAGGTGGGTGAGGCGCAGAGGTCGGGGACCCGTGTACCTGCAGTGGACCACAATGGGGCCTGCATCTGGGGGGTTGCAGGTCTTGACTCTCCGCAGGAAAGCCAGAAATGGTGTTGGGTACTCGGGCACCCCATGGTCCGGCCATGCTGTGAACTGAAACTGGCGGACTTCGCGTTTCTCACTGGAGCCGTTCTGGGGGGCATGAGGACAGAGCCTGTCACCACAGCCCATCACCCAGACTCACGCCTCCAGACCACCGTGCTCCTGGAGCACCCCACTTAGATGTCCTCTGGACAAGGGGGGGATGTTTTGACGTGGGGGTTTGAGGCCCCAACCCTGCCCTGACTTTTTCCCTGAACCACTCTCTCCATCCTAGTTGATGGCAGCTCCAATCTCCCAGAAGCTCTGGTGAAACTCAGGAATCACCCTTTGACTTCCCTCCCCTCCCAGCCTTCAGCCAATACAGTCAGCTCTGCCTTCAAAGTCTATCCCGGCCCCACGATGCCTCCCAGTCCCTCTCTTCCTAGCGCCTCCCGCCCTAACCCACACCTCCCTGTCCATTCTCCCTGCAGAGGCCACCAGAGGGCACCTGAGTCAGGTCCTGCCCTTCCCCTCCCCGCCAGGACTCCCACCTCCCTATGTTGGCTTTCCAGGCTGAGACCCTGCAGGGAACCCAGCACAGGCCCAAGGCGGGCGGTGCCAGAGGTCCAGGGAGCAGGAAAGACTGGAGGAGCAGTCGCTGCTCAGGGACAACATTCACTGCAAAGTTGGGCTCTGCTGGTTTTCTCCTCCTGCTAAGCCCCAGTTTCTTTGCCTACCAAGTGTGTGATCCTAGAAGGTGGTCGGCCTGGGTCAACAGGCTTGCCTTTCTCCTTCCCCCATCGGGAGCTCCTGGGCAGAAGCTGGGATCCTCTATTTTCCTCCCCCGCCCCAGGCCCCTCTCCCTGGCCTGGGCCCTACCTTGTGCAGAGAAAACGTCCGCACACAGAACGTGGCCAGTTCGATGGTGTCCAGCAGCGTGACCTGGATGAAGCCGTAGGTCTCGGTGCCCCTGCTGGGCCAGTACTGATCACACTTGATCTGTTGCGGGCGAGAGAAGGGAGGTGAGCGTGGGCCAGGGCCGGCGGGAGCAGGGGCCAGCGCCTGCAGGGCCGGGGCTGGGGCCGAGGCTCACCCGTGACTTCTCCTCCAGCCGCGTCATCATGACGATGGTGGCAGAGCGCTGCTCCCACACCATCCGCCAGAAGTCGCCAAAGGTCTCGGGCAGGGGCCCCTGCGTGGCAATATACGCGTTCTGCCGCCGGTAGCCGTCCACGTAATTGGCGTTGATGTAATCACTACCCACGATGCCTAAGGCGGGGTGAGAGGCCAGGAGTCAAGGAGGGGCTCGCCAGGCTGCTTCCAGCTGGCTGACCCAGAACTGTCCCAGCCTATTCCCAGAGTGTGCCCAAGCTCGTGGGGCTCGTAGCTCCTGGTTTCTCTACCTCAGCGTCACTGCCACTTGGGGTCAGAGCCCTGGCGGGGGCCGATGTGAACAATGTAGGAGTTGAGTCTCATCCGTGGCCTCCATTCTCCAGATGCCACTAGCACCCCCTCCCCATGAGGTTGGGACAAGTAAGTGTCCCCGGGTGTCACAAAGTGTCCCTGGGTGGTGGAGTTACCCTGAGAACCGCTGCTGTGGAGGGAAGGCAGAGGTGCGTATGGACAGCAGCCAGCAGTTAAATGCACCTCTGAACACTCCCAGAGGTCTCTGGCTAGCCTTGGACCAGGCCTGTGACTGAAGCTGGGCTCAGTTTTCCTATCTGCCCCCAGGTGTCCAGGCTGGCATGACCTGTGGCCGAGAGGAGGTGGAATGAGGGGGTCTGGGGCCCCGGTGCTACCTTCGATGGGCTGGAGGATGACGCGGGAGTGGTCGTAGGCGATGACATTGGCGTAGCGGTTCTTGGGCTTGTTCACTTCCAGGTTGGAGTGTTCCCACGTGAACTGCTGGCCTGGGTCAATGGACTGCAGGGAAGAGGGTGGTCAGAGGTGTCAGGGTGGGTAAGTAGGCCCAGGAGGGAGGGGCGCAGCTCACCTCGTACTCCTGGGAGAGCTTGAGGCTGTCGTTGGCCTTGAGGCGCTCGGTGTGCTCTGCCATGTCCGAGATGGGGATGGGCGGGTGGCTGAGCATGCCTGTGGGAAGAGCAGACCCACGCGGGGCCGGTCACGCAGGAGCCGGCCGGGCCGGGGCGCGGGTGGGGTGCTCTACGGTGTGAGTCTGCGATGGACGAGCTGCGTTAGAAGGGGGTGGCAGGGGCGGGCTCAGCGGAAGGGGGAGCTTGGGGTGGCCCGGGACCTGCGGGCCTAAAGGTGGGACATTAGAGGCTGCCGCTCTCGGCCGAGCCCAACTCCCCTGGTTCACAGTGTCTACCCAACCCAGGTGGCCCCAGACTCGAAGCTCCTAGTGCCTCAGGGCGAGCAGCAGGCGAGTGACACAGAAATGAAGAAGCAGATGCAGCTGGCTGGACCTCCGGAAATACCGTCCCCAGGCGGGGTTGGGAGACTGACCCCCTTCCTGCCCTGTTAGGGGCAGGGAGCGCCGAGGGGCGGGGGAGGCACATGGGACATGCGTGCTGGGCGAGGCCCCATTCATCTTGCAACTGCCTTGGGCAGGAGTTGGTGCGGTGAGGTCCTGACTGCAAGGGGTCATTTCCTCATTGGGCATAGGACTCCCTTTATCTCTGGAGCTCCTAGTGGGCTCTGGGGGATGTGGGGTGGGCCTGGCTCTTTCACCCCATACCTGGACCTGCCAGATCCTGCTCCTCCCTCTCCTCTTCTGGGCCAGCACCAAACTCGCTGCACAGCTATGCTGAGCTAGGCCAGCAAGGAAGGCCTAGTGTGAAACCACTAAGCGACTGCCAGTGGGCTGGTAAACAGCTCTTGTTCTGAGCCCCCCACCACCCCAGCTGCTCCCCAAGAGCCCCATCTGTGGGGCCTGAGGCTGATGTCCGCTTGACTGATCAGCCTCCTGCTCATCACCCAAGTGGGCTCCTGTTCCTACATCTGTGTCTTGCCTGTCCCTGTGCCCCCCACACATACACACAGTCACAACCAGCCCCAAGGGCCCAACGGACTGGACCCCCCCAATCAATGAAGCCAGGGCAGGACAGGCGGGCAGAGACTGGCTGGGAGTGGAAGCGTGGACAGAGATAGGAGGCAGGATGGAGAAACCAAAGATGAAAACAAACAGGGGGCGAAAAGGAAGCCGAGAACAGAGACACAGGAACTAACTTTCAAAGTGAAACCCCGGCTCCCTGAGGGGGCTGCTGAGGCCTGAATCTGCAGAAACAGCAAACAATAAATAAATGAAAACACGCGGGTGGGGGGTGCCTCCCCCACCCCTCTCTGGGTGCACGCACAAGGCAGGCTGACAGACGCAAAGGGCAGCGTGACTTAAATATCGCGGGTTGAAAATGGCTGCCCAGGCCACAAGCCGGAACCGACAGCAGCTGCTGTGTCCCTCTGACTGGACATTGGCCAGTCCTGGCCTCAGCTGTGTCTTTGGGAAGCCCCCCAAGTATTAGGCTCTTGTGTCAACATGTCCTCCCAGACTAACCTGGTCTCAGCTTTCCTGTTGGGGTCCACAGGGGGGGTTTTGGAGAAGGAAGCAGGAAGTATAGGGAGAAATTTGGGGGCAGGGGAAGGGCAGGTGGGCCCAGGCCACCGGCTTGGCCATAAGACAGCTGCTGTTAGTTAACAGAACTCATGTTTAAAATGCTCCCGCGACAGCGGTTGAGCGCTGGGTTGCGAAGCTGCCCGCAGCCTCTGCGGCGCCGGTTCGATCCCCGGCTGCTCCCCGGCCACCGGAGGAGGGTCCCGCATGGCGCGCAGATCTCTCCTGCCGCCCGCTGCTCCCCTCAGCAGTGTACTTCGGTCCTTCTGCCTGCTCTGCTCCCTGCTCTGGCTCTGGTGAATTCTCTCACCCTCCCGCGCTTCTGACTGTACCCAGTGCATGTATAAACAAACAAACAAACAAATAAATAAATAAAACATGCCTCTATTTAAAAAAAAAAAAAAAAAAAAAAAAAAAAATAAAATGCTCCCGCGAACAGGGTAGAGCTGACGTAGCCAGCCCGGCTGCAGGGAAGAGAGGAGCCACTAGGCACAGCACGTGAGGCCACGCACATGCCCTCATGGGGACTGCAGCCACCAGTCAATACAGATGTTTCAAATCTGTGTTTTGTGGGAAACAAAGTCAGTGTGGGAAGTGCAGGCTCGTGTGCAGGCAGAGGGGAGACGCAGGCAACAGGGGCTCCTGAGAACCGCAGTTGCTCGTCACATGAGAAAAAAATTCCTTGCTGGGCTGGAAGCAGCTGGTACGAGGCCATGAGATGGGGCGGGGCCAGGCGTCTGCACATGGAGATGACTGAGGACAAGCCGCCGACCCAGTTCTTCCACCATGGCCTCCACTGTGGCCACGGAGTGGGGGGTGCCAGAGACGGGGGCAGAGTTTCTGAGCATCACTGGGCACTCATCCCAGGAGGGTGTAGAAAAACCAAGGGCAGCCCCAGCACCCACCACTGAGTGACCCTCAGACCAGAGGTGTGGACACTGGCACGGTTCTTACCAGAAGTCAGGGGCCTGTGTAGACGCGTCCTTAAGCCCCCAAAGAGGAGTGCGACTGCCTAAGAAAGTAACTTCCTGGCAGCCCACTGGCTGGGAGCCACATGCCAGCCCCAGAGCGGTCACTAAGCCACGCCTCAGGCAGTGTGGACCCCTCCTACGTGTGGTCCCCCAGGTTGCCCCACAGCCAGGTGTGCCGTGGGCGGGAGCACCCAGGCTTGCGCCATCACACGCGACGACGTCTGCGCAAAGATGTCACCGCCTACCGACGCACCGGCATTTCTCAGACGCCGTTAAGTGACGCGCAACAGGGCACCAGGAACGTGACTGTACCAAGCAGTTCAGCGGGGACAGGCGAGTGTCCATCAAAGCGGCAGCTTCCTCTTCCCCAGACCACCTGCTGCACAGGTGTGTCCTGGCACCTGGGGTGAGCACATACCCGGTGTCTGGAAGTTAATGCGTCTCATCTCCACGGGGTCCTTGGGGTGGTGAGGGGCGAGGTCGGCGTTGTTCAGCAGGCATTTGGTGCGGGGCTCCGAATCTTTGCGTTTACTGTGTGCAAGTGAACAGAACCCATGTGTGCTTGTGCCAAAGGCACCTGGCACCGTGGGCGGGTACTCTGCAGGGGGAGGGGCCGGGTCTGCAAGAATGGGGTTCGCAGGAGCATGCATATGTGTGTGTGCACATGCAGGTGTGGCCAGGTGCCCCCACCCACGGGCACACCACCCCTGCCCCAGTCTCCTGCCTTAGGTTCTCCAAGGGCAGGGCCAGCTCTTACCTGTCAGGTTTACTGCTCCCAAAAGCAGACCCAAGAGAGAAGGGGGGGAAAGAAGACAGGTGAGGGTGTGCTCTGGGGCTGTGGGTGGCTTTCTTAAGCTCTAGAGCCTTGGTGTCCTCTGAAAATGGGGTTAATACTTCCTCTTTGGCCCCCCAAATACAAGGAGGCGTGTCTCAGCCCTCTTCCTGAGCTGAGGCCATTACTGTCTTCATGAAGCTGGAAGAGGCAGTTGACACCCCAAATCTTGCTGAGTAGACTAGTCAAATCACTGCCCTGGTTCCAGCTACGAGCCTGGGGCGGGAATCTGCTCAGTGGTTTAACCTTGCGAGCATCTCCCTATCTATGTCACGGGGGCTTCCGTGACCTCCTCCTCCTCCTAGATCACCTTCCCATCCTCCTGGCCCTTTCCAGACCCTTTTCCAAGAAGCCCTCCCTCCCATCAGGTGGTGGGCACAGAGGGCTCACTTCTTGTAGAGCAAGATGGCAATCACGATGCAGATGATGAAGACCACAGCCAGCACGGGGCCGATCACCCAGATGAGCCCTTCCTCGCCGTCCACGATGGGCTGGGGGTCTGGGTTATCCAGTTGGAAGGGGTCTGAGAAGGGGCTGGCTGCAAATGTCTGTGAAAGAGGGGTATGGAGATCAGGCCTCCATCAGTGTTCATCCTCCTCATGGGAGTCAGATGGGCCTTCCTCGTCCCTGCTGGCTCGTCCCTGCTCTAAACCCAACTATGGCTCCCAAGAGCCCTGCTCTGGTGGCCTGCAGGGCTTGGCCTTTGCCAATCTTCAGTCTCCCCATTCTCCCCTCTGCTTCAGTCACTCTGAAGTTCTTTTTGTTCATTTTGCACCTCCAGATCTTTGCATAAGATCTTTGCACAAGTAAATCTTGGGCTACTTTTTCCTTCTGGACTCCTATACATCCCTTGAAGCCCCAATCTAGAGTTCTCACTCACAAATCTTCAACTTGGAATTCCCCCAACCTCAAGTCCTCCCTTCTGCCTGGCCCTGACCACAAAGGCTGGGATGATCTATGCCTAATTTTGAGGTCAAGGGCCCTGGGGGCTGAGGCCACTTAGGGGTCCGTCTCACTTAGGGGTCCGTCTCACAGGGTGTGGCTAGATTTGGGCAGATTTCATTCGGGACTTACAGGCTCGCTCTTTTGCAGCACAGCAAGGACAAAGAGAACATATCGGTGGCCAGGCTCCAGGCCCCGGTTGTCAAAGCCACCATACTGCTTCTGGTCACCAGGATGGAAGGTGGATGGCAGTATCGAGAAGCGAGCTGCAATGTATGGCCGAGGCACCTCTAGCTGGCGAGAGTGCCGCAGGCTACGCCTCTGAAGTCGTGAGATGTCCTGGATGAGCTGTGGGAACAGAGGTGTGCGTGGCTCAGAGTCTGCTGGGAGCAACCAAGCTCATTAAAGCTGAAACATAATTGAGCCTGGCAGGCTGGGCTTCAGACCCTCACCTCCTCCAGATCCATGTCCTCTGGGCTGCCCAGCGGGGTCAGGAACTGGCCTCCGCGAGACTTGCGCAGTGGCACCATCACAATGAAATAGTTCCTGTTGGGAGACAAAGAATCAGAGCGGGGCCGTCTACAGATAGGGAGGCCTGAAAGATGCTCTTTGGGGTAAATGGGGGAGCTCTCTCGAAATCTTCCTTCTGCTCATACAGTAGGTCTATTCTCTACTGCCTTGGTCATATACAACTACAATTCCTAATTCAGGCTTCCAGGGCTGATTATTCTGTACCTTTTGCCTGGAAAACCTACCCAGGAAATGATATTTTTTGAACTACTAAAAATTCATTAAAGCCCCAACTTCTATGCCCACACATTCCTTTAGCCTTAATTTTTCTCTCTTTTGAGGCAGAGACCTCCTATTCCCACTGAAAAATCTTGACCCTGGTGCCTTTCACGGCCAGGGGGTTACAAGTCCGTGTCCAGCTCTGGAAAGCCAGAACCAGCCAAGGAGCATCGGGGAGTGCTGGGGAGCAGACCCAAGGCCACGTTTACTGACAGTGCCCACGGGAAGCACTTCAGGGCCACCACGTGAACTGGGGCAGACGTGATCCAGTTTTACAGGCAGAAGCTGAGTCAGAGGGGACAGGTGACTGCTTTGTTACACAGCTGGCTGCCAGGGGTGTGAGGACTCCTGAGGGGGTGTGAGCGTACTGGACGGGCACTGGGCTCTGGCCGTCGGGCAGATACACCATGATGAAGCCGTCGGAGTCGGGCTTGGGGGCCACGCTGGGCTTGGCGCTGAGCAGGTTGAAGGCAGTCCAGGCGGTGACGGTTTGCTGGAGGCCGCCCAGGCTGCTGCCGCGGCTGGTCAGCACAAAGTTATAGAAGGTGTTGGGCTTAAGGTGCGTGATGAGCCTTTTGGTGGTCCGGCCGTCCACGTCCAGTGTGAGCCCGTTGTACTGGATCTGTGGGCCAGTGCTGGCTCAGTGGAGGCCTGGACAGAGCCCCGTCCCCAGGCTGAGCCCCCAACCTTGACTGAGCATCAATTCCAGATTCAGCCCCGACCCCAGTGAACCGTAATCCCTCACTGAGCCTCAATGCCAGGTTAGCTACTGACCATAGACCAAGCCTTAATTCCAGCTGAGCCCCAAGTCTAACCGCTGAGCCCTGATCCCACAGTGAACCTCAGTCCCAGCTGATCCCTGACTCAGGTTAAGCCCAACTGGGACTAAGTCCTTATCCCCGACTGAGGCCTGGTCCTGCGTTAAATCTTGACCCAGACAGAACCTCACTCCCAGCCACCTCAATGCTGACTGAATCCTATTCCTAGATGGAGCCTCAACCTCAGCTGAACTCAGTCCCACTCAATCCTCAGCCCAGCTGAACTCCAACCCCAGACCAAATCCTGACTGAGCCCTAACCCCCGCCGAGCCCTGACTCCCGACACCTGCCCGCCAGGTGCCCCTACCTTGTAGGGTGTGGGCGAGTTGTAGTTGTCGGGGAACTCCCAGCTGAGCAGGACTGACGTCTTCATGATCATTTTCACCTTGAAGTTCTTGGGGGAGACTGTGCCGAGCAGCGCCCAACGGGAGAGAGCAGAAGAGAGGGCCTGTGAGTGCCGGGGTCGGGGGGCGGGTGCCAGGGGAGGGGTGGGGCGGCCCAGGCGCTCCCTGTCGTCCGCTGTGCCTGTGCCCTTGGCCTTCCTGCCTGGCCCTGGCCCGGCCCTGCCTGGCCCTGTCCCAAGTCCCTGCTGTGGAGACGGCGCGGCTGCAGAGAGAAGGCGGAGGAGGGAGGAGGGGGTGGGGTGGGGGCAGCGGTGGGGGCGGCGGTGCCACCTCGGCACGTCCCACCTTTGCCAACGCCGGAGCCTCGGGGTCCGGACTTCGCCTTGAGCATCCACGAGGAAGCAGAAAAGTGACCACTTACCTGGGCAGGGGAGAGGGGAGGGGCTGGGGTGGGGGTGGGCGCGGGGCCCGGTCCTTCTCTGGTGCGGGGGTCGCCGCGCGCCTACCTTGGTCCCGCAGGAACGTCCGGTAGCGGACGGGGGGGCTGTAGGGGCCAGGGCCCCGGCGCGTGTGGGCCCGCACTTGGAGGTCATAGGCTGTGTCGGGCTTGAGGCCCTGCAGTGTTAGCACGTTCTCGGCGCCCTGCTCGGCCGCGGCCGGCAGCTCGGTCTCTCGGGCGGGGCCCAGGGCACCGGCCTCTCGCACAGCCACCGTGTACTTGACAATGGCCCCGTTGCGCTCAGCGGGCACAGGTGGCAGCCAGCGGAGCAGGACAGTGCCGGCCGAGGCGTTGCCCGCTGCCTCCAGGATCTGCGGGTGGCCACGGGGAGTGTCCTCGGGTATGCTCAGGGCCTCGGCCGCCTCCTCGCCCAGACCGCCTCGGCTGCGGGCTGCCAGCCGGAACACATACGTGGCCCCCTTGTGCACGCCCAGAGCTGTGTAGTGGTCCTCGGTGGGCGGGAACTCCAGTGTGGCCAGGGGGGACGAGTCCTCGCGGCCAAACTGCAGGCGGTAGCCCAGCACCTGGTCCTCTGCCGTGCCAGCTGGGGGCTCCCAGCGTGCCAGCAGGCTGCCCTCGGGGGTCTGCTGCACCGACAGGGTGGGGCGGCCCAGCACTGTAGGGACAGGAGGCAGGTATCAGGCTACACCTGTCAGCCCAGGAGTAAGAAACGGGGTTGTAAGTTTTAAAAGTGGGTCTTGGGAAGGCCTCATTTAGAAGCAAAGCCTTGAAAGAGGGAAGGGAGAGAGCTGCAGGGAGATCTCGGGGGGAATAGTCTTCAAGATAAGAGGGAATAGCCAGTGCAAAGGCCCTGAGGTGGAACCGTGCTGGCTGAGGAGCTGGGTACTCAATGGAAGCCAACAAAAGAAAACACCCACATGTCACCGCAAGCCCTCATCTATTCATCTCCACCTTGAGTTAATGATCATTCATCTTTTGTCTTGTTCATTTGCCCCTTGCTCTCTGCTGGCACCTGATTAACTACCATGGGACAAAGGAATGTTCAAACTCTGCTCCTGCCTCACTGTCTGGGAAGTAATGAGCGTGCTATGAGAGGTCCTGGATCAGATAAAGATGGGTGACAGCTGAGCTTTACAAATGAAACCAGGCTCTTCCACTGCAGGACCTTCAACAGACTATGCTATGAGCTATCACAGCATGTTCTGCTTAGCAAGCCCAGTTCTGATGAAAGAGAAGGGAGAAATCACCGGGGACTTTTTGGAGGAGGAGGCATGGGCGCTGGACACTGGGATATACAGATTAGGCAGAAGGACACACCTGGAGTGATTAAAAGCTGTGATGGGGGAAGAAACATGGGGTGTCTAAACAGGGAGCCTGACCAAGACTCTGAGATAAGGGTGGGTGGGGAAGTCTTCCTGGAGGAGGTACAGAGTAAGCAAAGACTTAAAGTATGGGAAGGAGAGCCAGCTTGGGGAACAGCATTCGGGTAGTAGGAATAGAAGGGTGAAGGGCAGAGGGCAAGGGGACTGTTAACTGTCTCCACTGGCTGGAGCTAAGTTGGCAGGGAAAATAAAGGTGGGGGGTGCTGGGTCATGCTGGGTCCTGAATGCCCCATGAACAGCGCCTACACCTCTGCTCTCACTGATGCCTCCACCAGGAGCACGCTCTCCTCACACGGGCTCAAGAACTCTGAGGGGACACTGAGGGCAAAGGAACCAGGGGGCAGGGTCTCATACCTGCTCCCTTGGTCACTACCACCTTGGGTTTGCTGCGAGCGCCATCGCCTTTCATGGTGTAGGCGGCTACCGTGACGGAGTAGGCAGTCTCAGGCTGCAGGTTTGTGATGACCATCTCCTGTGGGCAGGCACAGGGGTCAGGGATGCTACCCGGGCTGCGACCAGCCCGGCCCACCCTCCTCCACGTGCTGGGTTTAAGCAAGGCAGACGTGGGGTCTGGTCCTCAGGTAGATGTGCACCCGAGTTCATGCACAGACCCTGACACGCAGCACGTCCATGCTGAGATGGGCACACACAGCCTGACATCCGGTCAACTCCCCGCCTGGACCAGCGCGGTCGCTTCCGCCCTGGTGCCCTGGCTCCCACCTGTGCCTGCCACGGTCTGTCTTTTCCATAACAGGACACCTGTGAGCATTCAAGCCAGGGCTCACCTCTCCTCTGTCCACAGTCCTCCGGGGCTGCCACTGCCCTCCAGGTAAAAGCCCAAGTCCTCCTCCCTGTGCCACAAGGCACCATATGAACTCTGTCTCCTACCTGCCCTCACCTCTTCCCTCCCTCCCCTCTGGCTCATTGTGCTTCAGTTACACAGGCCTCCTCACTGTTCTCACATGCCAGACAGTCCTGCCCCAGGACCTTAGCATGTGCTGTACCCGGTGCCTCTACCATACCTAGGAGTGTGCTGGAGATTCCCTAAACCAGCTGCCAAGAGTTGACAGTTAAACTCAGGAATTTTTCAAGCCAGTTGTTAAAGACATTATTATAAATTATATAAACTTATAATCAAAGAAATAGTATTAAAAACCATAGGTGATTGGAAAACATACCTCTTCCTAATAATTTCACTACATTTACTACTATCTAAGTTCTGGGAGTTTTTCTGTCTTGGTTCTGTATGATAGGAGTACATACATCTAGTCAGAACGTATTTCCTCTAGAAGACAGCTTGAAATTGACATGGTAGCATTATTTACACCATGGGAATGAGCAAGCATATAAATCAGGACGGCCCTCTCCCAGCCAGCAGAGAGCAGATTATTAAACATTTACACCGTGTCTACATCCCACCCCCACCAGAGCTATAACTGATGATTATTTGCATCTTGTTCCAATTAACACCTCTGTCCCCCCCTGGACTGAGACCCCTGGGAGAGCAGGCTCAGGTCTGTGTTGGTCATTGCATGCCCACAACCACCTGGCACAGGATCCAGCACACAGCAGGCACTTGGTACACAACTGCTTGTTCAGTGAATGACAGAGCACCTGATCTGCACACACAACCGCACACACCCTCACAGAGCCACACGTGTGCCCGTGTTCCCACGCACAGTGCATGCACCCCCACAAACATGGTCTGGCATGCCTGGGAGCTGGAGTGGCCCTGGATCAAGAGCACATGGCGGGGGCAGAGATGCGTGAACAGAGGGTCTCCTGCCCCTGAACCTCACATTCAGTCACCCCTGGGTCCAGATGGGTGGGTGGGGCTAAGCTGGTGGGAACTTTACTCCTACTCTCAGGGTGGAGAAGGGGCAGGGTCGGAGGGGAGTGGGTGAGCTGACGTCTGTTCAGCATCTGGACACTGTAGGACACACAAACCAGGAGATGAAGGGTCTTAGAAGGCCGGTGGCTTGTATGTGAAGAACGGAGACAGCCCAGAGAGAGGCAGCAGCTTGCCCAAAGCCTCACAGTAATTCTGCCCCTGACTCAGGAAAGCTCTGAGGGAGCTTGAAGCTCCTCTGAGGAACTGCGGCACCACAGCCTCCTCCCTCCCTGGCCACTGACCCCTCTCATCTCTTGAGAGTTAGAAGGAAGCTTATACTTTGGCCAGAGAGAACTTTCTAGATCAGGGTAGTAATTTTGGTTGTTTGGAAAACAACCCAGTTCTGATCTCTCTGCTGGGCCTGGGTGCAACGGGGCGACTGCAGGGTGGACAGCACAGAGGCTGCGGGCAGAGCCAGAGCAAAGCTGTGGAGATTAAGACTGCAGGGGGAGCGGATGGTGGGGATACAAGGCTGGCACATATGTGGGGCGGGGGCTGGGAAGAAGCAACTATCTAGGGGTCATCCAGAGAGACTAAGACCGTGTCCAGACATCTGCCTTGTGTCTGCGTCACCCCTCTGGGGACCCCAGCTGGTGCTACCCCTTCTGTGCCTATTTGCCTGATGCAAAAACTGAGGTTACAAGTTCCCAGAGGTCACCCTGGGCATGTCCAGGGTCCAAGGGAGGAGACCCTTTCACAGGGGGCGTGCGGGTGGGGGGACAGTCACAGCACAGCACAGCCCGCGAGAAGAACATAAGAGCACGGCAGAGGCCGGTGGGGCGCTACTTACATATTCGGCCATGTCATCCATCTCCCACTGAGCGCGGGAGGCGGCGGCAGGGGAGAGAGGAGGAGGTGAGCAGAGGTGGCCAGAGAGACAGAAGCGGCCAGAGGGCAGAGCATGGGGGCAGCCCCGGCCCTGGGCCCGCCCTCAGCCCCCCCACGCAGCCCGGCCTACCTGGGCATCGGCCAGCATGATGTCCTTAATGCGGGGCGGCCCTCGGGCCTCCGCGCCCTCCATGCGCACGTAGTGGACCTGGTAGCCGCGGATCTGGCCATGCTGCCGGCCGGGCGCGGGCGAGCGCCACAGCACGCGGATGGCCGTGGCGTTGAGCGCCTCCGCTTCCACCTTCCGCGGAGGCGCGCTGGGCACTGGCGGGGGGAGGGGAGGGGAGGGGCGGGTGGGGCTGTTACTGGGGTGCCCGGCCCTGCCCCGGGCAGCACCACTGCCCGATGCCAGGGTGCCAAGTGGCTGCTGGTTAACTGGCCCTGATGGTGTGCCCCCACTTACAGATGGGCAGAACTGAGGCCCCCCCCAAGAGCCTAAACCACCCGGCCAGAGCCACAGGGCGTGAGTGAGCCACGCGAGCTCTGCGCTCGGAGCTTTACCCACACTGTCTTCATCCTCACAGGATCCCTTCCAAGTAGGGGCGCTCATGTTCATTTTACAAACGGGGAAACTGAGGCCCCGTAGAGAGCTGATTCCATGATCACTGGATTAGTAAAAGGCAAGGCCAGGATTTGAACCCAGGCAGGGCACATACATGCTACTGTTACCCCAGTAGCCGGCCAGCCCACTATGCACTGGGGAGCCTCAGAATCCCAAGGTTGGAGCTGTCTCCCCACCAACGCACCCCCGCCCCCCAAGATCTGGCACAGATGCTCTTCCCCATGCTTAATCAGGGACTGTCAACCAAACCTTCCAGTGGCTCAAAATAGCAAACAAGCTTCCTGACAGCAAGAGGTTGACATTTACTGGGGAGGCTATCTGCTCCACTTCTCTGTGCCCCTGGCTTCCCCCACGAGACTCCAGCCTCCAGCCCCCACACTTTGCAGCTTAAGACTTTCAGCCTCGGGGCAATATTTACACCACAGAAACGGGCCAATACTATAAATCAAGTCTCTAATCCAGAGAGACAGTTGTTACATAGCCTCAGCCTGCCTCAGTCTACCTGCTTTGCAGACAGGTTGGCCCAGCCAGGGAGCTGCAAGGCCCATGCCTAACAGCCAGGTCTCTGGGGTCAAGGGACCCTAATTAGGTTGCATGTGCCGCTTGCTGTTTCTCACACTCCACTGCCATGGTTTCCACCAATGGGCCAAACACGGGGCTGCCCGCTTAACTCTGCAGGCACAAGGCTCAGGGAGAGAGGCTGCCTGGGTCTACACGGAGAGTTACGGACCAAGGAGCCTGGGGCTTCTCCGAGAGGCTGCTTGCTTCACGTCTCCCTCTCATGCCCGTGGCGTCTACCTTTGACCTCCAGCCAGCCCAGTTTTCCAGATAAGGTTCCCAGGCCGGGGCAGGCTGGGGCCTTCGGGGCCCGGGCGGGGCTGGTGCTCACCGTCCTCGTCGGTGCGGACGACCACGGGCGAGCTCTCGGGCCCTGGCCCCACCTCTGTGTGAGCGACAGTCGTGATGCGGTACTCCGTCCACTTGTCCAGCGCCTCCAGCAGGATCTGAGTGGTGGTCGGGGGGATGCCGTTCACCTCCTTGGGTTGCGGGTCCTCTGAGCCCAGCGGTCGGTAGCGGACGCTATAGCTCACCAGGGCCCCGTTGTGCGTTTCCGGCGGCGGTGGGCGCCAACTTACCAAAATGGCCGTGGAACGAGTGCTGACACATTTAACGTCTTGAGGGGGGGCTGACGGTTCTATTGGGGGGAGAACGTGGGGGTGGGGAAGGGAGGCGGGATGGGCAGGGAGAGGGTGGGGAAACAAAAGATGGGAAAGAGAAAATAAAAAAGAAGATGATAACAAACAAAACAGAACCAAACCAAAGAGAAATCGAACCCAAAAGAAGCAGGTGTCAACCAAAGGTGAGATGGGTGGGCAGGTAAGGATGGGGGATGGGAGGGCTGGCCAAGAATTCTGTGCTTGTCCTGTAGGGCTGCACCAACCTAGCACACAGTAGGTCTTCGGTAGTGGACAGGCACAATCCCCGTGGAGTGTACATATGATGTGTGGCAGGCACTGTGCCAAATGGAACAGCAATGAAAGTTCCATTCATTGGGCACCTACTATGTGTTAGGCACAGTACCAAGGGCTTCAGAGAAAAACAGTAAATGTTGTTATTTATTGAACACCTACTGTGTACTAGACACTGTGCTAGAGAACTAGCAATAAAAGTTTCATTTTTTTGGGACCCTACTGTGTGTCAGGCACAGCACCAAGGATAAAAGGAAAGTACAATGCACTTATTTACTGAATACCTATTGTGTCTAGTTATTGTACCATGTGATAACAAAAGTCCCACTTATGGGGCACCTACTATGTGGTGGGCATGGTGCTAAGAGTGTCACAGAGTAGTGGTAAATGCATTTATCTGCCAAGCACCTATTGTGTGCCAGGCAATGTCAGTGCCAGCTCCACTAACTGGATACCAACTATGTGCCAAGCACAGCACTAGGAATGGAACAACAGGCTAATGTACTTATTTCTCCAACACCTACTGTGTGCTAGGGGCTGTGCCAGTGCCTTTTATAGAGCAACAGAGTGTCTTTAAGTAGAGTTCCTCTTATTGGGCACCTACTGTGTGGGGGTCACGGCACTAAGAGCTTCCTAGGGTGATGGCAACTGCATTTAATTGCTGAACACCAATTCTGTGCCAGGGAACAGCACTTACTGGTAGCACCTACTGTGTGCTAGGCGCAGTGCTAGAATATCACAGATTAATGTTAAAATCACATATTTACAGAATACCTGTTCTACTAGGGATCCCAGAAAGCCACCCCAATGGGTTACTTTCAAGCAAGACTACCCTCCTGGCCTCACTTTTAGAGAAAATAACGCCTATGTCCTGAGCACCTATTATGTGCCAGTTAGTAAGCCAAAGGCTTTTATATAGTCACAAATGACTTAATGATGGGGACATGTCCTGGGAAATTCAAAGTTAGGTGATTTCGTTGTGCAAACATCAGAGTATAATAACAGACCTAGAGAGAGGGCCTGCTGCACCCCTAGGCACACAGTGCAGCCTGTTGGGACCACTGTCATACATGGGACTCTTGTTGACTGAAACCTCGTATATGATGCCTGACTGCAGAGGTGAAGGTGCTGTGCTCTGGCCTCTGCTGTGCTAGTGCTCGACTGGGCCCCATAGACCTGGTGCCCAGGTCTTCGTCGACTGTAGCTCTTCTGAGAGGGCCCTTGGCACGCACCACACCAAGCCTAATGCAGGGTGATGGCAAATTTTATGTATTGAGCACCTGCTCTGGGCTGGCCATCCTCACAGCCACCTGAAGATCCAAACGGCAGTTGCCATTATGTAGCACCTACTGCATACCGGCAGGCACTGTGCCAAGGACTTATGCCAGGCACATAACAAGCAGTCACTGTGCCAAAGGCTTTAATGAGGAAACAGGAATAGTTCCTATATGTTAAGCAACTACTATGGGCTAGGCCCTGCACTAAGGGCCTTGTACAACTTTCATTGTTTCCCTTCTAAAGCACCCACTCTGCTTCTATATAGTCACTTGTCACTTTGCAAAGAGGGCAGCTGCTGAGAAATGCACTGCTGGTTGCTTTCATTGGGAGTCATTGAGCAATGACACAGATTTGGACAGTGCAGCCAAGAGCATGCCTAGGCTGTGTGGTAGAGACCGCTGTCATGGACGTGGGCCCTTGGGGACTGGAACTTGATCAAGCAATGCACAACTGTACTAAGGGCCCCAAGAATGATCACAGTCTTAATCAAATACTGACTTTCGTACACATGGTCCAAAGGACTTTGCAGATAATAACTCCATGTTTCAAGCAAAAACTGTGTACCTCCAACCATGATAGGCCCTGTCAGACTGACAGTGGTTCCCACACGAGCACCTACTAAGCACCCAGCTCTAGTAACTTTCCAACTTTGTAAGGAAAGTGCCATTTACGGAGCACTTTTTGTGTGCCCAGCACTGGGCCAGAGGCTATGCAGACACGGAATGCAGCCCCATGCTTGGGGTACCTCCTGTGCACTTGGCACAGGGTAAATTTATGACACACTACTAAGAAAGTCTATTCATCAAGAGGCTAACACCATGCCAATCCAGGTTTAGAGTAACACAACAGCTGCACTTATAGAACACCTACTGTGTGCCAGGCAGTGCGCTGAGGGTGTTGTTGAATAACAGTGGGAGTTCCCACATACTACGTACCTGCTATGCATGTTAGGGCTCTACGAAGTAATAGCACTAGTCTCTGTGTATTGAGCACCTACTATGTGCCAGGCCCTGTGCTAAGGGCATTGCAGTCACACTGCTTCACATCGGGGATCCTTTCTGGGAAATGCGTCATTAGGCAATTCCATCATTGTGCAAACATCACAGAGTAGCGAATGGCGGATGCCTAGAGGAGTCTACCCTACACCAAGGCTAGGTGCTGCAGCCTGCTGGGCCCCCAGCGAATACGCGGTCCCTCTTTGACTGAAACACCATTAAGCCGCACAGACTATGCTGAGAATAAATCTCACATTCTATTAAGTCCTTTATGGGCTGAAAATGGGTCCCAGTGATTTCTCACAACACCCCTAGGTAGACAAAACTATCACCCCTGTCCCCCACACCCCTTGTTACACATTATTAACGAGTTGTGACAGCCTCAGGTACCCCTCCAAACTGAAAGCAGGGAAGCCAGTTTGATGGGCTTTCTAGCGTTAGTCATGAACCAACGGGGTGCCTGTCCCCACCCATCACCTCTCATCTTATAGATGAGGAAACTGAGGTCCAGAAATGACAATTTGCCTGGCCAAGGGCTTGGGCTGAGGTGTGTGTTGGGAGTGGGCAGAACCAGGATCTGCATGCCGGCTCAGCTATTGTCCATGGGCATCTCGGCTTGAGCCTGGGAGTTCAGAGCTCAACCCGTGCCCCTGTGGGAGCAGGCCAGTTGAGACCAGCTCAAACCACACACTCTGTACTGCCCTGATTCCTCGCCTAGAAGGGGGCCCAGAGAGGTTGCTGGTCTGCCTGAGACTAGAGGGCACGGAGCCTCTCACCACCACGGCAGCCCTCTTCACCGAGCGCGTGTTTGTAGACTACTGAATATGCGCGCAACCTGAGCAAGGGTCTGGGACCCAAGGGTGAACCAGAGCCCCGGCCTCAGAAACATCAGGCTACCGGAGACCTCAGAGTCCAAAGACTACTCCAACAAGAATGGCTGTTCAGTCTCTCTTAAAGAGAAACACCAGCGATCCTTTCTCTGGGACTACACACCTACGCTCCCCATTTCTTGACCAGCCACCCCAACCAAAAGTGCCTGGGGGAGTCAGGCAGGAACAGAAAGACCAATTGGGGAATGTGCCAGAAGGAATGGATTTGCTGCGAAAGGGGGAGGAAAAACAAAACCAAAACCATAATAAAATAAGAAACAACGGTGATGGTGATGATGATGAGAAAAACCATAATAAAAGAAAGAAAGACGCCTTCCAGAAAACTCCCAGTCTGTTACCTACCTTCCACTCTTCAACTGCTAACTTATAAGACTTTCTTACGAGGGAGGGAATGGCGGAACGCCGAGCTACAAGGCCAGACCGAGCTCTGGGTGGGTCTCCGGGTGTGAGCAGGCCCTCAGTGGGCACGCTGCAGTTCCGGGCTGGTGCCGACGAGGCGGGGAGGTGGGACGGTGTCTGGGGAGACCCACGGCTGAGTGGTCTGGCCTCCACCTACCCTTGAGTTGAGCCTAAGAAGCCCGCAGCCCCTGGGGGAGACGCCTGGCCCTGAGACTTGGCTGCAGCTTTCTTGGGCCCCACCCGTCTGGGGGCAAGAAGGGGGGAGTCCCTTCTCCCCCACTCCCTGTCCTGGGCCGCCCCGGAGGTTCGTTTGGCTGGGCCAAAGCCGCGTTCTAGACGACCGCAGAGGCCGCCTCCTTCACAATCCAGCCCAACCTGCGTGAGATTCTGGGAGGGAGTTGGTGGTGGTGGTGGGGGGGGCAGTGCATGTGTGGGGTGCATGGTTCCAACTCCCCTTTTCTGGGTAGAGGGTTTCAAGGCCCAAACCGGGCTCTGGACTACTGGTGTCGCCCGGAGCTGCGGGGGCAGCGGGGTGGTGGGGAAGGAGCCTGGGGGCACGCAGGGTGGGCCGTTTTTGTGAACCTGCTTGAGACCAGCAAGTACTCACCTTCACGGCACCTGTGCCGGCCTGTCACGTGGCCGCCCAAGCCACAGGACACCCTCACTGATCTCCACCTCACGCACAAACACCCAGGCGCCGCTGAGCTGGGGCGCGCTTGGCTCGGCTCGGCAAGTGGCAGCGGGAAGAAGGGGTGGGGGCTGGGGTGGTGGGGGAACTGGTCTCCGAGGCCCCTGATTCCGCTGGCTGAGATGCCCTGGCCCGAGCCGACATCACCCTTGACTGACCCGTGAACCCCTGCGTGCGCACACACCGAGGCTGCTTCCGGAACGAGGCCTGGGATGGCCACGGCGTGACTGACTGAGAAGGGGGGAGGAGAGCCACGGCAGCAGAGGCCACGGCGGCAGAGGCCAAGCCGGGCTAGGCTGAGGGAAGAGGAGGGAGCAGAGGAGGGAAGGGAGGCAGGAGACGCAGGAGAAGGGCCCTGCCTCGGCCCTGTGCTCAGCGCAGGCAGGGAGCAGCTCGGGGCCGGTGGGCGCCGTGCAGCCCTGAGCCTGCTGCAGTCCTGGCCCGAAGGTGACTTGTTTGTGACAGGGAGGCCGGGCGGGCACAGCGAAGAACTCCAGGAATTTAAAAGCCTGTATTGAGGCCTGTACCCCACAAACCTTTGACTTTGACTCCCCTGCCCCCCACCCCTGCCCTGGCAATGGAGGTCCTGGTCCTGGGGCAGAAGGGCCACCGCCACCTGCCCTTCCAGGAAGTGAGTTCATCTCCGTGCCCTTTGCTCTCTGGGCACAATGGGGTATGAGTTGTGACAGCCTCGTGTACCCCTCAAATGCGTGTGGGAAGGGCACAGTGTGACTGTTCAATTAGCCCCAAATCTGGGAGAGAAAGGGGAGAGAAGATGTGGTCTGCTACTCCCCAACAGGGGCAAACCAGCCACATCTTGTCCCCAGCCCCAGGGAAACAGACACAGGAGACTGTGGGAAGCCTGGGGCGAGCCCCCCCCTGCAGCGCAGGTGGTCATGTCTGAAGTCGAGGGGCCAGGCCGGAACGGGCCAGGGTGCCCCCCACCCGTGGCGGGCTCCCCAGTTAGCCAGGGCTGCTGCGCTGGGCCGAGGGTCCCCCCCGCAGAGAAGGGTGGGGTCCGAGAGACACCTACTGGACTGCAGCGTGCGCTGCCGCACCACCGAGGTGAAGGCGCCCAGGCCCTGCGGGGAGCGCGCGGCCAGGCGGAAGGCGTATTCCGTGTTGGGCTTGAGGTCGTCCACCACGAAGCTCGTGGCCGGCTCGAAGGTCCTTCCCACCTGGGTGTGGACAGGGGCAGAGACAGACACAGAGAGACAGAAAGAGAGGAGAGAGAGAGACAGCGAGATTGCAACAAAGACAAAGAGACAGAGACAGAGGGATAGGCAGAGGCAGAGAGATACAGAGGCAGAGGCACAGAAGAGACAGAAAGAGATACAGAGAGAAAGAGACACACGTGAGGAAGTGTCAGTGAATTACAGAAACGGAGAGAAAGTGAAACCCGGGAAAGCAAAGAGAGAAATAAGTGGGGCAGAGGGAAGGGAGAGAAAGACATGGAGAGATGGAGAAACAGAAAGGAGGTGGAGAAATTAGCAATAAATAGGGGCAAAGGCATTCAGGTACAGAATCGGGGAGCCACGCCAGAGAAACAAAGAACAGGTGAGAGCAGCCTCCCAGCCCCACCCTGCCCCCCACCCCCTGGGTACCTCTCTGCCAAGGTCGCCTTCCCGGAACAGGAGCTCATACTTGATGATGCTTTCTTGCCTTGGGGGGCTCCATGAGAGCCCGATGCTGGTCTCCGACTTGGCCTCTGCCCGGAAGTTCATGGGCTGGCCAGGCACTGGGGGTGGGACAGAGGAACAGAAATGAAAGGGGAGGATGGGGGAGTCCATCTGCTTAGGGTGCCCACCCCCAAAAGAGCACCTGAAGGAAGATTATTCAGCTCTGGAAGCTTCCAGAATATTTGCCCACTGTTCTCTTATCTTTCTGGGAACCCGGTATCATCCTTGTTAGTTGTCCATCTCAATCCCCCCCTCCACCTCCTCTCTCTGCCAGTAGAAACATTAAAAAATTCCCTTTGCTATTCACCCCAGCACCTTCTCCCTCCTCCCAATTAAACTGAACTGATTTCTCTAAATTGGTAGGGATATTTTGAAACGTGGCTCTCTACACTGCACCCCTCTGCAGCAGCAGAGCTCCAGCCCCTGTGCTTGTGCAGCTGCCCGAGTCTTTCTGGATTTGAGGTTATGGAGCCCTGAGCCCAAAAAAAGGCTCAGCAACTGCTTGGGACCCCATGCACCTAAATGCTCCCCACTTCCATCCATAGGCCTTCAACTGGAGCCGGCCAGCAGTCCAGGGCCTTTGGGTAGACGCACTTTGCATTAATTACTTCAGAACAGCCAGCATGGATCTCTCCAATGGGAGCAGCAAACAGGGGTTCTCAAACTCAGATACCAACAGTGCAGCCAAGTGAGAAGAGGGGGAAGCAGAAACAGTGCCCCTCGTTTTAGATGCAGCTGCTGGGACCTATCTGGATGTCGGGTGGTTTGTAAAATCAGATTTCCCAAAGGAAGCAGAATTCGGGTTTTCTGGGACTTTGATTTTAAATGGTAGCCCGAAAATAGTCATTTGTCGCTTAACAACAGAGACAAATTCCGAGACATCGTTAGGCGACTGCGTCGCTGTGAGAATGTCGTAATTGTAATGACAGACCTAGATGGCACAGCCCACTGGGGCCACTGTTGTCTTTGTGGCCTGTCACTGACCAAAAAGCTGTTAAGCAGCACATGGCTGCATTGTAAAGCACGGTGTGGGACAAAGAATGGCTTTGCGGCTTCCAGTGGGGCCCGCTGCCTGCTGGGAGATCCAGCACCACCACTTCCTTCCATCACAGGCAGCCCTGACCCCCACGGAGTCACACCTCCCACAGCCTCACCTCCCTGCTGCGTCTTGACCTGGATGGGGTCAGAAAGGGGGCCATCACCCACAGAAGTGAAGGCCAGCACGCGCACGGTGTAGGTCTCGTCCTCTAGCAGGCTGCCCACGGTGGTCAGCAGGCTGTCGTCCACGTTGTGCTTCTGCCAGTTGCCCACGGGGTGCTCGGGCTCCATGGTGTAATAGATCCGGTACCCCCGGATCAGGCCGTTGGGCTCCACAGGCTCCTCCCACTGGATGATCATGGTGGTCGCGCTCAGCATGCGGGCCTGCACATTCCTTGGGGCGCTTGCTGGTGCCTGCTCGCCTGTGCGGGTGACCACTGACTCACTTGGGGGACCCTGTCCGATGGAGTTGACGGCAGACACCCAGATCTCATACTCGGAGTTGGGGCTCAGGCCTCCGATGCTGTAGCGCGTGGTGGTGATGTCCTCTTTGATCTGATATGGCCCATCCTGACTCTTGGATTTGTATTCGATGACGTAGTAGGACACGGGATCTGGGTTGCCCGAGTCCCATGTGATGGTGATGCTGGTGGCTGTGTTCTCCGTCACCACGGGCGTCCCAGGAGCCTTGGGGAGAGCTGTGGGTGGAGGACGGACACATGTCAGGGGCACACCAGCTGCAGACCCTCAGGGCTGTGACTGTCAGCTACAAAGGGCCCTCTGGAGCCTACGTCACCATCTAAAGCAAGGGTCAGCAGACTGTAGACCCAGGACCGGCATGTGTTTTTGTAAATAAAGTTTTATTGAAACCTGCTGTGTGGATGTCCTACCCACAGTGGCTTGGCCACTATAATGGGCAGCTGAGTGGCGGCGGCAGAGACTAAATGGCCACTAGCACCACCTTTTCCTTTTAACAAACTAGTTTGCTATAGAAGAAAAATATTTACTTTGGGGAGAGACACTGGTGGCCCCTGGTCTACAGTTCACTTTGCTTATCTGTCTGTTGCCACTTCACAGTTCCCGTTCCCTGTACCTGGGACTCTCCATCCCCAGGGAGCCATGTAGCTGCTGCTGCTGCTGAAGCTCACTTGTCATGCCTCCCACGCCACCCTGGCCGCCCCAGACTACCCAGGGTCATCACTTTGTTTTCCCTACTGGCAGGGACCAAGGTTTGTCTGTAGTTGCTGGGATATTATGACTTATAAGAAACATATATTGGTCGTTCAGATGACCAAAAAGTACATGCACGTATGTGTGCAGATTTATCTCAATCATAAAGATTTGCTCTTTGTCCACAGAGCCTGACACAGGGCTCCCAAGGCCCTCATACAGGAGTCTGTTCTTATGTGAATAAGGTGACTCTGGAAGCACCTAAGGTTGGGGCTGGTTGCCTGGAGAACTGTGTGGCTAGAGGTTGGAACGTTTGTTCCTTCAGTCCCCACGACCCCCAGACCTGCTGGAGACTGAACCAGCTATCAGTGGCCAATGAGAGAATCTGTCGTGCCAAAGTAATGAAGCCTCCACAGAAGTCCAAAAGGAGGAAATCTGGAGAGTGTCCAGGTTGGGGAGACAGCGACACTGTGCCAGACCCCAAACTCCACGAGGACAGAAGCTCCTCTGTTTGGGCCCTCCACCCCGTGTGTTCCTTCATTTGGCTTTGATTCATATTCTTTGGTATCCCTTGTAATAAACTTGTGACCTACAAGTAAATGGGTTTTCTGAGTTCTAGAAACAACTCTGCAACTGACTGAATCTGAGGAAGGGGCTGTGGTGACCTCTGACTCATGGCCAGCAGCACAGGTACGACCTTAGGTTTGTGCCTCTCACTAGCTGGTGGAAGCACAGTTGAGTAGTCTGGGTCCACGTCACAGGCCAAGGAAGCATTCACCAGAGTGTAACCCCTTAGCAGAATAACCAAAAAGCCAGCTAATGCCGACATCATCTGTGGCCCTAGCTAGGGCAGAGCTCTGGCAAAGGGCCAGGTGTAATGGTTTTCGATTCTGCAGGATAGGGCAATCCTGGTTGAAACTACTCAGCTCAGCCCTTGTAGCCCAAAAGCTGCCACAGGCAGGCATGAACGAATGGGTCTGTGTCAATAAAACTTTATTTATAAAAATAAATGAAGGACTGGATTTAGCCCGAGGGTGGTGTTTCTTGGCCAGTGTCGTCATGCTTGAAAATTATTTTGGGCACCTTCTGAGTTTCACCATAAATTTGAGACAGCAGGAGAATCTGCAGTCCTCTGTTCCAGCCCCCAAAACCCCCAGTGTCAATCCTGAGTTTTTGCACAGATTGCTTCCTTTTCTGAGAATGGCACCCTGTCTTCTCTGGTTCATTTTTGTTCAATGTGTAGTCTTTCCCTGACTGAGCATGCCCAGAAAGTGGTAATTTTATGGTGGGGGCCAGAATGACACTATGTGGCCCCAGCAGCCTGTAACTCAACCCCATGGGGATGGCTATGCAGAAATTTCCTTCTCTGGACTGTGAGCTCAAAAGAGTTGGGTCTGTGTCTCATCCCATGGGGTCAGGACCAGAATCATTTATAAGTGTTAAATATTTGTCCAAAGAACCACGATCCCCTTAATGTCCATGAAAGACTGAAGCCAAACTGGTAACTCAGAAATTTTCCACTTGTACCTCCCATCTGGGGGTCAGAAACCGCTGACCTCCCAGCGCCCTGCTTACATTTCACTGTGATCTGGGCCACAGCCTCGATGACACCCAGGCTGGACATGGCCACGCATGTGTAATTGGCAGAATCCTTGACATCCGTGAGTTCCAGCACATTCCGACCCACGGGCATATCATCTTCCGGTGTCAGGTCCTCCGCCCCCTGCATCCACTTGACGTATGGCATGGGCGAGCCCACGGCCACGCAGGTGATGTTCACGTTGCCACCTGGCATGATCTCGTGGCTCATGGGTAAGATGGAGAATCGAGGGGCCACGCGGCGGACTGGGGGGGGGCGGCGGCAGCGGCAGGCAGAGGGAGATGCACGGGGTGGGAGGGAGACGGAATGTGGGAGAAAGGAAAGAAAAGCAAGAAGAAAGAAAGAAGGAAAGAAAGAAAAAAAGGAAAAAAAAGTGGAAAACAATTTAAATATAAACAGGGCTGCTGCCTCCCCCCCAGTTGAAATTTTTTTCTTCCAAATGAAAAAAACAAAAAACAAATTAAAACAAAACAAAACAAAACAAATTCCAACACAAAGAAACCATAACTTCAAAAGAAGGTACTTCACAAACAATATATAGAGAGATATATCGATATATAATAAAAGAGACATGAAGCATTATTCCATAGCAACAGGGTTTCAGCGACCAGAGTGGCTGGTCACAGCACAGATATGAACACAAAAATTTATCAGCCGTTTCTCATCTTTGCTGACAGACATGGCTTCGGAAGGCAGCCCCTCCACCCGCACTCCCAGGTGGGGAGCTTCGGAAGGTTCTGGCCGCGAGTGTCGGGGGGCTGGGGGACAGTCAGATGGGGAAAGGACAGGCCATGGCAGCGCTGGGACTGAGAGGCAGAGGGGGCCAACACCTGGGCCCCCCACCCATCCCCTTGGGGACCCAGGGCCCCGCCCACTTTCCCCAGGGCCCTCAAGGAAAAGATGAGAAACTCTAATGAAATTTTTGTGGTTTTTGGGTATAGAAACCCTTCTAAAAGCTTCTGTCAGTTCTGACAAGTTTCCATTGATAGATGCAGCTCTCAGGATCACAAACAGCATGCAAAATAGGTTGGTTGAGAGAGAGAGAGACAGAGAAAGAGAGAGACATAGAGGAGAGAGCAAGAGCCAGGAGGGACAGAGAGGGGCTAGTGCACAGATGAGACCTGGATCTCAGGGCCTTTAGGGCGGCGCTCATGTGGGTGCCAGAGAGGAGAGACAGATGAGCTGAGAGAGAGAGAGAGAGAGACAGAGAGAGAGAGAGAGAGAGAGAGAGAGAGAGAGAGAGAGAATCAGGGCCAGAGGAACAGAGAGAGGGACAGAGAAAGAGAAAGAGGGGAGGGGGCCCACTTCAATGCTGCATATTAATTCTAGCAAATGTGACCCAATGCAACATGTCACATTGTCACATCACAGCCCTGGCAGGCTAATAAATAGAATATTAATAATAATAATAATAATAATAATAATAATAAACAAGGGAATGGACTGGAACGTTGATAAACAGGGACATGTTCTGTGCGTTTCTTAGCAGGGAAGCGGATGCAGCCTTCTGTCCCGTCTCACAGACCACGAAGGCAGCAGGATGCGTTTCGGGGGCTCCATTTTCGGAAGTTGAATGGGTTTCGGGGTGGAGGGCCAAGGGTGGATGCTAACATGCATCTGAACTTCCATTCCAAAGGGCACTTCTTTACCACAGATGTACAGTGGGAAGGACTAGGGTTAGCGTAGTAAGTCCTTCTAGCCAGAAAGAGGCTGTCCCTGGCTGAGGTCTCCAGACATAAGAAGCCAGGTGGGGGGCCCCCAGCTGTGGGGGGGGCAAGGAGGAGTCTTATCTCCAACCATAGAGATGACAGATTGGGGGCTCACAAGGCTCAGAAGGGCTAGACAGGGACTTCCAGCATGCCCAGCTTGGCTAACTTTCACATGGCACTGGGGGAGCAAGCCAAACCCGAGAGGGTGGTTGCGGGGGGGTCTGGCCTGCTCTACAGAGAGAGCTTCAGGAGAGATGGGGAGGCAGCTGACTCCCTCTATTCCGGTCTTGCTTCTGAACTAAGAATCCCAACCTCTGCTCCCTGAATCCCAGCTGGAGGCAAAGAGAAGGGGGAGCTCCGTGGGGGTGGGAGGGAGGGTGAAGAAGTTGGCAGCCCTTCGGAAAAGGAAGCCCCGCGAAAAGTCCAGAGTCACGCTGGAGACAGGATGGTGGGAGTGGAGGGTACTGTTTGAGGGGAGGGGCTAGGGGTGCAGTGGGGGGACAGGAGGAAGACAGAGGGGCCATGCAGACAGACTGGGGAGTGAGGGGCAGGATGGGGCACTGAGATGGGGGGCGGCTTTCTGGCAGGGCTGGGTGGAGGGTGGGGGGAGTTGGGGGAGAATGGGGTCCGGCCAGCCAGTGGACACAGTCCAGGCCAGCCGCCGGCATCCACAGCGAGGCCCGAGTGGGATGCCGACGCTGCGTTGTCATGGAAACAGAACACGATGGGGGATGAGCTGGGGGATGAGCGTGGGGGATCTAATTAATCAAGGACAGAAATCAGCATCGACGTCCAAAACAAAACCAGGAGAAACAAATGAAAAAACAAAGCGGAAAAAAAAAAAGATCCAAAAAGACAAATTAAAGACCCTCTGAAATAAAAACCAAACACCCAAAAGCAAGAAGAAAAAAAACCATGGAATGGGTGTGGGGCTGAAAATCGGGGTCTGAAAGGAGGAGGGCTGTGGCTTCCCCAAGAAGGTGCCCCCGCCCCCCAGGCAGAACACAGGGTCTGGCCTCCCCAGCCAGCACCCTGGAGCATCGGCTGGAGGCAGCTGCAGAGATGAGATCCTCTCCGAGAGAGATGCTTCGGAGCAAACCAACCCCCTCCCCCACTGACAGCCCTCTTGGCCCACTGCTCAGGAAGACCCTTGCTTAGCCCTCATCAAACGGAGGTCCGCAAACTCCATCACACACCGAGACAAGCTCCCCGAGGTCTCAGAGTCCCCCCAAAACCTCCTCAGGCAGAGGTGAGGGAGCTGAGTGGGCCCTGTGGCCTTGGGAATGTCCCTCATCCTCCTAGGGCCTCAGTTTCCTCATCTGTGAAATGGAGGCAACAGGATGACAGCCGAGAAGCCATTAAGCTGACTGGGTGGGGCAGTGCCCGGCGCATGGTAGATGCTCAACCCAGACAAGGGGCTGACGACGACTCTGTCGGCCTTTCGGAGTGCTGGGAAGATCAATTAGATTCTCTACCTTAAGGGGTTTTGGGAATGAATTAAAAAGAAAAGAAAAGGATACAGTAAGAATTTCTATTGACTCTCCATCTTGCTTTATCCCTCCCAACAATTTTGAGAGGCAAATGTCCTGAAATCCATTTTGTGGATGAGGGCTAGAGGCTCGGGGAGGGGACAGGGCTAGCTGGCCGTCACGAAGGAAGCAAGTGGCAGGACGAGAGCTCCAAGTCAGCCTGCCTGGTTCCTGCCTCTCAGATAAAGTGAGTCTTCGCTCACCACATTAAGTGGCCAGAATGACAGCCAGGTGTCCCTTCTTGGCATCTGGCTCTTTCCAACTTGTGAGTCCTTATCCTCTGGGGACACCAAAGAGGGCAAAAGTACCCAATCACCAGCAAGCACCAGTTAAATAATATCCAGCAGCCATCATAATAATTGTCCAGAAGCCATCGGTAAAAGGCTGATATTGAAGGGACTGTTGGAACAGCAAAGGAAGTAAGAGCAGACTTTAGGATTTAAAGGTTAAATGTGAGCCCAATTTATTCCTTCGCAAAGCTCAACATCTCACCCAAAAGAATGTGTCCACATCTGATCTTATCTTAAAATATCTCCCCTTAGGAGGCATCCTAATTTAGAAGGTACCTCTAACTTTTTCCAGAAGTAGAGACAAGGCATACATCTTAAATATGTAAAAGACTTGCTGTGCAGGGTTGTTAATTATAAGTCAGTTAATGTGGGAGGGCATTTATCAACAACAGTAATTTTAGTGCTCACAATTTCCAGCATGGCCGGCAGCCATCAGTTAAACGGATCTGCCAATAAACTGTAAAGGCTGACACCTAAGAAACTTTGCCCACTTGTGTTCTCACCCCCCTCATTTGCTTCTGAGGGTGTGCTGTAGGAAGAGGGCTGGTTTGCCACGAATTTGGGGAGGAGTGTGCCCAGTTGGCACTAGGTGGCTCAGACCCTCCAGGGGTCCGAGACCTCTAGGCATCCTCCCGGCTGGCAATGGGGGGTGGCTTGACGCTGTGTTCTGCCCAGTTTGGTGCTGACACCCACCCACTCGTCTTTCCACCCCGGCTGCAAGCTTGAGGTACAGGTTAGAAAGTAAGGTGGGTGCGGAGCCCACGGGACAGAGTGGCCCCGTGGAACCCCCGCCCCCAATTACCGACCTGAATGGAGGGTCCAGGCGGGTTATAAGGGGACCACACCAGCTTGGTCCTCAGCATGCTCCAGCTGGCTCTGGTTTCCAGCTCTTCTCGTCACCGAGTAGCCGGGGGGTCCCAGCGGGGGAACCCACGTGGGTGAGGGGTCAGGAGGGTGGGCAGTGGGGGTGGCAGGTTGGGGGGGGGTGGGTGGCTTCAAACCCCGATTCACATGGAAAAACAACTCAAAAACCGTCAAAGCAACTGGGAGACAATCCCTCCCCCAGGCAGGAAGAAGCAGAAACTCAAAAACCAAAAAGGGGAGTAGGGTTCAAGGGAGAAGGGGGTGGGAAGGAGTGAGGGGGGAACTCAAAAGTGAGGTGATCTGGTTGAAGCACTAGGTAGGGAACTCGACAGTGTCAGACATCTCCACAATTCAGCAAGCCGCAGCTGGGGGGAAGGGGGACGACTCTGCTGGGCATTTTGGAATCAGAGAAGTTGCCAGAGCCTCCTCTAGACTCCAAAATGAGGATGCAGATGGAGAGGGTGTGTGTGTAGGGGGGGAGATGCCAAGAAGTTCTACAGCCTCCACGGGTTTACTTAAGCTTAGATTACACCTGTCGGGGGGAAGGGAGGGGTCAGGGCCTAATTCCAGAGCCCATTTCTCATCTCCTCCTTTGCCCAGCCTGTGGCCCAGGGAGGGTGGGTAACACCCTGCAGCCTCTCTTGTGCATCTTCCTTTCCTTCTTCCCTCTCCACCATCCTGCCGCCCTCCTCCCACCACCAGCTCCCTCCGCCATCAGGAGAGCGTGCACGGCCTGGAGGGACCTGGCTGGACCCTTGGCCCATGGGCTGACCAGTGGTCTTTGGCAAGTAGTTGACATTTTCAGCGTATATTGTTTTTGTTCTCTGCCCCCCCCCACACTTTTGGGGGGGTT